TCATGTTTTCGCCTGTCAGACGCAACCCGAGACCAGAAGGTAACACATTGCCGATGTTATGAGTAAACTGTCCATTTGTCGCCCTATGCACAGATACCTTCCACGGTACATACGGTATCAGACGGACGACATGGCCAATCCATCTGCCAGATTAGGCAACAGGTCAGTTTGGAGGTCATGTTTGACGTGGAACAGTGACAGTGATGTGCCCAAGCAGTGCCTCACGATCTGGCCAATGCGTTGTTAAAAACCCTATGACAGTCAAATGTGACGTCCGGGCTCTTGACCGCCTTTGTTAAGAAGCATCTTCAAATTAATTAGCCTCGTGCCAAGCGACTGAGATTTTGACGCGATTCAAACATGGCCGTCTGAGTTTTGTTTCCGTCTTTATCTTCGGGCGTCTCTTCGAAACCACAATGTCAAAGAAGCGAAACTGCGTCCATTTTCAGAGCTTTCGAGCCATGCCATGCTTTTTCCATGAAAGGACCCTAATTGCTATCAGCGCGCTAAACTACATCTGAAGCGTCATCGTATGAAGGAAGGCCGTTGCTGTAAAGACGATGACCGAAGGCCAGGAGGAGACCGCTGAAGTACTGAGAGGGATGGAGAGCGCGCGTGCCGTCTGGATCCGGGGGTGCGCGATGGAAGCAGCGCTCATGACATTGGGTTTGTGGGAAAATGGTTCGGAACCAACCGGCATACACTAAGCGCACAGCTGCGTTCTCCTCTAAAGGTCCGCACCATACGATCCATAAACATCAAAGAATTTAGATTAAATCCAAAAACAACACGGGCATTGAGGTGTCCTCCCAACTTTATGGCGTGATATGCTTTGTTCGCTAGACATAGAAAACTGCTTCACAGTCGTATACATTTAAACAAAAACTGCATCGATTTAAATACACAAGAATTTCTATTAAGGTGAGAGTTCAGTTGTCCCTGTATCAGTTTTTCAACATTTTTTTCCGGCTGTCGGGATGATGGAAATCGATGTAAACTTCATAACATCAGATGACGTTCCAGCTTTTTGAATCGTATCTGCCAATTAACAACTTACGCGATCCAAAAGAGTGCGAACACGCGGGCTGTGTGGAGTTCACGATACCAAACAGGGTGAATCCGATAACACTGAAGGGCATTTTAAGCGTAGGACGTTGGGATGAATGCATTGGACACACCACCTCATGCCGCACTTTTCAGTCTGAACACGAATCGCCGGCGAGTTCCTGGGTTAACGGTGCGCAAAGCCAGTTGCAACAGCCGACGCCGGCGGCATTTCGCCGGCAGATCGCCACCCTGAATTTGTCGACTTGATCGTGCTCCGCTAAGCGTCGATACGGAGCGTCCCATCCATGGCGGGCGGGCTGGACAGCGCTGGCTCTCTTATACCGGCGACGGCCGGTCGCGTGCTGCGCCACGCTGTGGGCGGCCGGCTGTCTCGCAGCCGCACGCGGATCGCGTCCCGGACGTGGCGCAGTGCTCCTGACAGCACCACCTGGCGCTTCATCCATTTGTATTATTTCCGGCGACCGTCACGGAGACCGGCCCGACGGCCGGCCATGGATAACTTAAGTGACGTCACTGACTGGTGTCGCAGTCGGGTGAGGAGTTTTGACTCGTCGAACAGGTTCGAAGCTTGTCGAGGACGCGGGTGGCATGTTCCTCGAAACAATCTACAACGCCGGCGGGTCGTGCCGGGTCGGACATCGCTGTCCCTTCAGTTCACCTCAAGCGGCCGCCAGCTGGGTCTCGGTCACGTCTAGTTCGCTCCACGGCGTTGCCGTCGCTGGTGCGTGATGGAGTTCGGTGAGGCGGAACAGCGGACCATTGCACGGGTGATGTTGCGGGATTAAGTCGCAGTGCAGCGGGTCCTGTATCGCTGACAGGTGAATGCATGATGATAAAGATGAGATTGAACAGCATATTCTGATGGTCGGCACGTCGTGTCGTTGCGCGTAGCGAGCAGTCCGAGAAGAGAGCCGCGAAGAGTTCAGAGGTGTGTTCAGTGGCCCGGCCCGAATAGTGACCTGAAGTCACTGACCACCGCTAGCGTCCACCGATCACCACCAATCACCACGATCACCGATCACGAATCACCGATCACCGATCACGAACCACCGATCACCGACCACCGATCACCGATCTGAATCACCGATCAACACCCAACGCCCTGTGCCTGGTCGGTATGGGATGCAGCTTGTGGTCCAGCTAGTCAATGCCATGGGTCGGTCCTGCCGGGCGCCTGGTGTGGTGACAGACGGTAGCAGAGCACATCAGGACGTTGCCAGTGGGCACCGTGCTGCATTGTTGTCCACAGGGCCGCGACCCCCAGTTGTCTGATTATCTTTGTCAGGGGTCGTCACAGTCTGAATGATAGCCCGTCACGGACGATCAAACGCGTGAAACACTAATGCGTGCAGGGCGTGAAGGTCAGCACCCCGGGAGCCGCATTTGTGTGGCTGATCTGTGACAGACAGTTTGGCAACTGGGCAAGACGGGTCAGGGACAGCTGTGGCCACTGCGTTATATTTGCTGTGTTTGACCTTTCATTGCCATATTGGGAATCCTGAGACATTGTCTGATTAGGTAGAATTGATTTGATTGTGTAGCGCAGTAAATTCACCGAAATGAGCTGCGTTTTGCAAGGACTCTTTGAAGTTGGATTCCACTTCTTGGATGGTGCCACCAGGGTTCTCGAAAGCAGTGACGTCTAGCATGTTCCAGATCCTAAACCAATCCTTACAAGAATTTCTCTAGTTAAGATCTAAAAGAAGTCGTCGACTCCGGTTTGTGCCGGAGGGAGATGTCGCCGATGGGCCAGGCTTTGGCGCTTCAAATCACGTTAAATTGCGACGAACAGGGCAGCAAAGTTTGATTTATGCACTTGCGTGCCGTTCAGATGACCTCAGTGCGTCTAAAGACTAGGCTTATGAAAAAAGATAAGCGTGTGGTTGACGCAAGCACCTTAATCATTAAGCCTGAGAGGAATTAAACTCAACCGATGCAATCAATCGCGATAATTCTCAGAGGAACTCGGAGTCCGCCCCCGGGTACTGCGTCGCGGAGCGACCGGTATCGAGAAACAATCTCAGAGCCAAACGCTAGGGTTGGCAGAACATGTGTGCTTCACTACGTCCATGACGTCACAAGTGTGAAAGTCTACGTGACGCGCAGCCGACTCACCAAGTCGTAAATCACAGTGCTGGCGTCATCCGCACCCCACAACAGAGCAAAACACAGCGCGTGCAGCACCACCGGCGGACGTGACCGGCCCGGGTCCGCCCCCACGTCTCACGACACGCCAGCAGAGGTCTGAACTCCTCTCAGTACTGGTCCAACTCTCAGCACAGGCCGGGTCCACCCCCCCCCCCCCGTCCCACGACACGCCAGCAGAGGTCCGAGCTCCTCTCAGCACGGGTCCAGCCCCCAGCACAGCCCGGGTCCGCCCCCACGTCCCACGACACGCCAGCAGAGGTCTGAACTCCTCTCAGCACTGGTCCAACTCTCAGCACAGGCCGGGTCAGCCCCCCCCCCCCCCCGTCCCACGACACGCCAGCAGAGGTCTGAACTCCTCTCAGCACGGGTCCAGCTCTCAGCACCAGCAGGGTCTGCCCCCACGTCCCACGACACGCCAGCAGAGGTCTGAACTCCTCTCAGCACGGGTCCAGCTCTCAGCACAGCCCGGGTCTGCCCCCACGTCCCACGACACGCCAGCAGAGGTCTGAGCTCCTCCCAGCACGGGTCCACCCCCAGCACAGCCCGGGTCCGCCCCCACGTCCCACGACACGCCAGCAGAGGTCTGAACTCCTCTCAGCACTGGTCCAACTCTCAGCACAGGCCGGGTCAGCCCCCCCCCCCCCCGTCCCACGACACGCCAGCAGAGGTCTGAACTCCTCTCAGCACCGGTCCAGCTCTCAGCACAGGCTGGGTCCGCTCCCACGCCCCACGACACGCCAGCAGAGGTCCGAGCTCCTCTCAGCACGGGTCCAGCTCTCAGCACCGGCCGGGTCTGCCCCCACGTCCCACGACACGCCAGCAGAGGTCTGAGCTCCTCCCAGCACGGGTCCACCCCCAGCACAGCCCGGGTCCGCCCCCACGTCCCACGGCACGACAGCAGAGGTCTGAGCTCCTCCCAGCACCAGTCCAGCCGTGATGCAGGGGAGAGGTGCTGAACACGTGTTCAGCGGCACTTCAAAGTCCCATGAATGCTTTAGCATGCATATATGGATGCTTTAGTCCCTACGGCATGACGTGGGTGCGGGGCAGGCCGTGCCGTGACGTTGCCTTGCACGGAGGAACCCCTCCGCGCCCCAACGGGCTAAAAGGGAGGGGGACAGTCGGACCGCGAACCGAAACCGCACTTCTTCGGTGGTGGGCTCAGTACGTACTCAGCGAGCTGCGGTCAGCATGCTCTTTGAGCCTTTAGATCCGTTAGTGTATCAAGGAATTCCCATTTCGACCGTTTTGGGACGGACATCCAGCCCGCGATGTCGGCTTGCGCCTGTCTCCCCGGCGAACCTGCCTGATCCGGAGAGGAGAAGGCCTCCCAGCCTGTCTGACGAAAGGGGCTAATGGATAGCGCGTCCAAAAAAAGATCACCTCTTTGCGATCCGCCTTCTTGAGCCGTTTCACTCACCGAGCTCGATTTTGTCGGGCAGGTCCAGCAGCCGGCCTTCACTGACTTCGACCCTCACTTGAATGCTCGAGGTCGTGTGGTTTGCATCGAAGCTGGTTATTGATGCAAAAGCGCTGGGTCGGCCCTTGTATCTGGGAACGAGTCGGCATTCGGACCGTCCACGAATAGCGAATCGAAATGCGAGTCACGAATAGCGGCTTGATCAGCTGCTACCAGAACCAGACGACAAATGGGCTGTTACCGATGCCTTTACATAATACATTACTGCTCAGGCTGGAGCCGTCCAAGATAATCCACTAGTCTGTTATAGATGGTTTGCTGTCGTGCTCCTCACACGCGGCAACACCGTGCATGGATAAAGCGA